TACACAAACTATGAAAAGCTTAAAAAATGCAAAGGCTGTTGTAATTGATGAAATCCGCCGGGAAATGCTCAAGGCATTAGGCGAACAAGGCATGTTCTGGTTTATACGTGTCAAACTGCGACGACAAAGGGAAAAACACCGGCAGACAGGAGAAAGGGAGTACTCCCATTCAAGAAGAGCGACCACAAGCAGTGCTCCAATTATAGGGGCATTACGTTATCGAGCCTGGCAGGTAAAGTCTACGCAAAGGTGCAAAACAGGAGGTGCCGCGGAATAACTAACTCCAAGGTACAAGAACAGCAGCGTGGTTTTCGGCGGGGTCGAAGCAGCTGTGACCATATATTTGCCAAGCGCCAGATTGCTGAGAAATTGTGGGAGAAAGCCAGTACGATATACATGTTTTGTTGCCTAGAAAAAGCCGATGACCGGATCCCACACAACAGTCCTTGGTCACGCCTTCGAGTATACGGGATAGATGGCCACCTGTTAAAAGCCATCCAATCACTGATAGCAGGTGCTGCGTCTGAGTAAATGGCGGTAAGTCGAAACGATTCAACGTTGGCACTGGTTTCCGCCAACGCTGCGTCCTGTCCCCTATCCTGTTTGTGTTGTACATGGATGGAATGGTCAGGAGCTGCCAAGGCGATTAGTGTATCGGTGTAGGAGATGTGAAGACGAGAAGGCTGCTGTTTGCAGACGACCATGTTTTACTGGCATTTTCTGAAACTGATTTTCAGTGCTCCCTAGAAAGGTTCGCAGCAGAATGCGACTTGACCGGCATGCGTGTGAACGCATGTAAAACGAAAAGACTAGGCTTTTTCGTTCTCCTGCCCGTTACTCTCATCAGATTAACGGAGAGGCAGTGGAGCAGGTGGAAAGGTGGAAGTACCTCAGAACTGTATTTACTAGTGATGGAAAACTGGAGGAAGAGATCGACCGTCGATGTGGCCAGTGGCGTTCTGCGTGAATAGCCCGATCCAATGTGACTAAAGCAGAGCTGAGACTGAAAACAAAGCTCTCGGTATTCAAGTCGATCTTTATCCCCATGGTTACGTGCGGCTATGAGTTGTGGACCACGACCGAAAAGGTTCGAACACGGATAGAAGCTGCTGAAATGGGCTTTCTCAAACGAGTCGTTGGCCTTACGCATCTCGACATGGTCCGAAATACTGACATCCGGAAGAGCCTTGGTGTGCAGCTTCTGCTTCTGCAGATTGAGAAGTCACAGCTGCAATAGTTTGGGCTAGTGTTGAGAAAGAAGGAAGACTACGGAACTGTTTCGTGCGACACCGACTGGCAGAAGGCTAAAGGACGGCCAAGAATAACTTGGTGCAAATATATGGAAGGAGTCTGTTCCAGACTCCAGTCGTTTTCTGCCGAAGCATAGACACTTTCAAAGGATCAGGAACATTGGAAGCTCTGTCTGACGCGACTGCCTCCGCGACCCGAGAGAAGAAGGATCCATGGAAGATGAAGAACTTTTGAACGAACAGAACGCAAAATTTGAAGGCAACAAGTGTAGGACACTTAAGAAAGAATATTTGCCTTGTTGCTCAGATCACAAAATGTGTCAGGATAGTCATGAGAAACAACAAAGGTAAGCTCTATCACAAAGAGGAACTGTGCGACACAGACATAAACGTCTGCGATTATAAATTGTTACTTGCACTTCATAGTCTGCACGCTTCCCCTACGGCGACAGTAGCAAAGTGACAAATTTATCGCTCACCATCAGCAGACGATGCATTGCACTGCAGGAGGTCCAAAGCAAGGCGCGTACTGAACGCGGAAAACCCATAGCTGAGCAACGTAACGAATCGACGAGAAAAATCTGCAAAATCTCACTTAATCAAAAAACTAATACTCCATTATTTGATTCACCGTTTACGTATTCCTTCAACCATGCATTTTTTTCTGTTTCAGCCATTTGTTTGATCATGATACACGAATACTCACCGGTCAGATCATTGGGTACTTGACGTAAGTACACGGGCAGGTATCCGTTTTTAAGCCAAAACCTGAAATTAAGCGATAAGGTGTTATCAGTCTGTGACAGAAATGAAGCCAACTTCGCCAATACATATACGCATATTAAGATCTAATACGATCTCAAGAGGTATCGGTATAGGAGATGTTAAGTCGAGAAGGTTGCTGTTTGCAGACGACCTTGTTTTATTAGCATCT